GTAACAACCTGCAATTTGAATAATCTCCTGGCAAACAATCATATAACAAAAAAAAAAAAAAACCAGTTGCCCAAAAATCCCTCACAACAACCTGCAATTTAGATAATCTCTTGGTAAACAATCATATAAACAAAAAAAAAAAAGTGGAACTGGGTTTTGGGTTCCGTCGAACCCAGCAAATCTGGGTTCAATGATCCGAGGAAGAAGAGGAAGAAAGAAGAGGAAGAAAAAAAAAAGAAAAAGAGAAAGGAAGAAGTGAACGGAATTATTTTATTTTATTTTTTAAAAAAATATAAATAGTAATAATGTGAGTTGGCATGAAAAAAAAATCCACATCAACACGTTTTCAATTTATTTTTGCCACGTCATCAAAAAAATTATAAAAAATGCCACATAAGCGAGTTAACGATCAAAATTAATAGAAAGACTAACGGAGTGCATTTCTTAAAGTTTAAAGATAAAAAAGGTGCAAAAAATTATTAAGGGACCAAAAATGTGCAACTCATTAAAGTTGAGGGACCATATTTAGCATTTAACCTTAGTGGAAAATTCTCCCAACGCTTGTTTCTTTAGTGCCTGTTTTTCCATTCAGAAGACTCAAACTTGAGACTTTATTTAAAGGGAATCGAGTTCTTTTCACTCGAACCAACAGGTCATTTGTGTCAATATATTACATTAAATACCTTTCAATTGGACGAAAGCTTATTTTGGTCAAAATACTTGATCGAATTAAAATTTTTTTTGTCAAAATTTTTTTTTGTCTGAAATAATTTATTTAAAATAAAACTTTTTCTAGTGATGATCGTATAAATAATTGAATAGAGAATTAAGAAGTATTGATGTTTTGAATAAACAAAAAATGTCAAAAGACTCAAAACATGTATTTTCAAAGAAGAGGAAGTGTATGTTATATGGGTAGTGCTATAGGGATAATTTTTTTGTCTCATTTTTTTATACAATTTATATATGTTATTAAATGAGTGAATGCATTTAATATCACAAGTTCCATATGAATTAAAAAAATCAATCATTTTAATGACATGTTAGGTTATACAAAAAAATGACACAAAAAAGTTATACAAAAATCATTTCCCATGTTACATATATGTATAATTGCTCTTTCTATTTGTAAGTGGCATATATGAATTAATTACATTTATGTATAATTGCTCTTTCTATTTGTAAGGGACATATATGAATTAATTACATTTAATTTTGTAAACTTAAAGGGTTTTTTTGGAGTAAACTTTAATTTTTAGAGTTTCTTGCTTTTCTTTTCTAATTTGAGGATAAAGGTTATAAAGAGTATAGTTTTGTCCACTCAAATAGGAGTACAAAATTTGGTATATTATTGATTTTTGTTTAAAAGAGTTTTTTTTTTTTAACATAATTAAAAGAGTTTCATATTGGATCCTTTTCTTATCTTGTGTTTTGTAGTTGATGGCTAATTAATTTTTTCTCTTAGACTTGAAAGGGATTTCCACTATAATTTAGGAAAAATCATTCCTTTCAAATTGCCTTAGACCATACACCATACTGTAGATACTTTAAAATCATTATGTGAAATTAAAATAACCAAATTATCAAATTTCATTTTAATTTTAATGTTAATTACAAATCACACTCTAAAGAATTATAACTTATCCTCCTGCAACCTCATCCCAATTCTATCTTATCCATTATCTTTGATTCTTCATATATTAGCACATATTATTATGAAAGCAAATGAATCACTATAACTCCTTATCTTTTGTAAGTAGATTTTAAGTTTTTGATCACCTTAAAGGTTTAACAATTAATCTCCTTGGCATGGTCGGTTTTTGTTTGGATGATATCAACTTGATCTTAACTTTTTTATAACAAAGTAAAAATAAAGTATTATTAGACAAAAAAAAAATAGTAGTAGAAAACCTATATTCTCCAACTAATAATTCTGCAACCAAATATTTAGCAAAAAAAAATATAAGAATTTTAAGAAACAAATAAAAATATAGTAAAAATGACTAAGAATAAAAATTAAGAATTTATCTTTGCAAACACGCTGACTTGAGAATAAATTTAATGGATAAATATAGTTATTAGATTTGAAAAAGAGAAATTTGTTAAGAAAAAAAATTAGAGAATGAAACAATAAAGAGAAAAAAGTACTTATCTCATTGTTGATTTGAAAATAAATTATGAATGGTGGAAAGTAAATTTCAGAAAATAGACTTATGACAATATAAAATTAATAATGCTGAGGAGAATATCTTAAGAGAGAAGAATCAAACATATCTTTTTCTTATATAATGAACTAAATATATAGAAGAAGAAACTAGAAAGGGTAGAAAAAATTGTGACTACATAAATAGTTATTATGTTTTGCATTACAATATTATGTTTCTATTCTTCATAAATTTTAGACATCTATTCATCTTCCTTCAATATTATATTATCTTATATTATATATGTAATGAAACTAATAATTATAAAATAATAAAAAATATTAAGATAAGAAGTAGAAGACAAGAATATGAGAAGATAAAAAAGTTAAACTTATGTTATCAAGTAGACTTATTTACATAATTTATTCTTTTATAATTAAAATAAAGTGACAAATTTTAGTGCCTAATTAATAGTAAGGGATAACAGTTTATATAATATATAAATATAGATTTATTTATAATTGGCTTATGCTATACTCAAAGGTTAGATTCATTAATATATAAGTATTATTAAGGTAGGATTAAGGTTTAATTCTTAAAACCAACACTAAAAAATTTTTATTTTCTTAAATTTCTCAAATTGATGTAAGAAATGTGTCTTAAAATTATATAAAAAAATTATTCTCAAAATACATAAAAATTTATCCGAAAAAACTCTTAAACACTTATCCAAAAGCACCCTATACCACGTCATGATAACAAATTTTCACCCCTATTATCACTCCTGGAAGAACAAAATGTAGTGATATAAAGATAATATTTTTATATCATTTTTTTATATAATTTTTACATATTATTAAATAAATAAATATATTTAATATCATAAATTTTAAATAAATAAAAAAATTAATAATTAAATAATACATAAGATTATAGAAAAAATAATACAAAAAATTATTCTTAAACTATTTTCCAAGAATTAAGGAGCTGAGGACCCGAGGCCGAGGTAGTGTTAATGTGGCCAGAGAAACGGCGAATTAACTCGCACGTGTCTCACGTGCAAGTTTTCAGTTAAATTTGGCCTGATTGGCACAAGATAAAATATTCAGGGGCTTAAATCCATCACAAAGTAAGTTTAGGGACAATTTGAAAATTCGAGGGAAACTTGGGGGTTTTGCCTTTTTAGCAAAAATCCCCAATCCAGCTTCATCTTTCCTCTTTGCTTCCCTTCGACTTCGACTGCGATTCGCCCCTCCGCGCTCCGCCTCGTCTCTCTCTCTCAGTGGCCTCGTCCCTCCGCCGTCTGCATCCATCTCAGTGTCTCATCTGCGATTCCTTCGACAAATCCAGAGTGAGCTCGCTAAAACTGTTACTCCAGGGATTCGACTTGCGTCATCCATCAGCTAACAGCCACATCTTGGATTCCCCGTCTCTTTCCTTATCGCAGGTGCTTGTTCTTCTGCACTTCTGCTCTTTTTTTTTTACGAAATTGGCTGTTACCTGATAAAACTGAATATGGTGTGATTTTTAATTGTAATGAATCGGAGAATGTATACTTTTTACACCACAATTTTAATTAATTTTAATGAATCTGAGAAGGTATCTAGCTGAGCTTTACTGTTTCTTTTTCACTATGTTCTAATTTTTACATCGAGTTGAACCTAGTTCTGTTTTTGGGGATGGCATGCTCTGATTTCCTTTGTTTAAAATGCTGAAATATTCTAAACTTGTATTTTCCTAAGAACTCGAATTTGCAATTGTTTTTGGGGACTCCATTAGGGATTAAGCTCTTTAATTTATTGTATTGAACTTTTTTTTTTTGTTTTTTTTTTTTTGTTTTCCAATCTAATATTCTTATGGAATTGGTTTATGAAACCTTACTCTTTCTCTGTCCATTGTTTTGAGTGCAGATGCCTCAGAAATTGTGAGAAAGTTTTATGTTATATCTTTGTTAATTTATTGTAGTTGTACTTGTAAATTGCAGGGAGCTTTGAGCTTTGTATTTTACAGGCCTGATTGATATACGGTAAAGAACTCATCAAAGAGAATGCTTGGTGGCATCAAGTTTATTCCTCGTGATCAGATTGATAAAGTATATAATATTTTTTTTTTAACTTTTTATCTTTATCTTTTAGTTGTTTTTGAAGTACATCTGCTTGATTGAAATCTAATTTTCCTTATTTTGTTAATACTTTCTCGTTTTGCCTAATGTTCATTAGGCAGAAGGAGAGAATCCAGATGCAAAAAAGGAGAAATCAAGTAGTAGAAAAGAAAAGGCAGGGAGAAAAAAGAAGGCTTACATTAGTTCAGATGATGAAATTGAGAAAATAGATAAAGGGTCTAGAAAAAAGAAGTGGTATTCGTCTGATGAATATTCATCATCACAAAGTGAGAGTGAGGACACTTCCGATCAGGAAGGAAACAAGCGCCAGAATAAAAGAAGGAATAAGAGAAGCAGAAGTAATGTATCAAGGGAGGATAGGTCCAAGAAAGGATCAAGGCGTGGTAGGAAACAATATTCATCTGATGATGATTATTCTACAACTTCGGAAGATGGGAACCAAAAAAGTGAAAAAGAGGGAAGGAAAAAAGGTAAGGAAAGATGGATTGCAATGATGCTATGTTTCTTTATTTTGAGTCTTTGATAACTGATTAGTTTGATTTTATGATATTCTTCCTCTCATTTACAGGTGATACTAATCCTTCGGCTTCTCTAAAGGAGAATGAAATTGTAAGAAAAGAAATGGGATTGGACTGGATGCTTAGACCAGCAGATAAGGTGGATAGGACACCTACGGTGATGGTTGACAAACAGTCCGAGGAGCCTCCAGGGGAGGTATGCTGCTACTTTCTAAACATGCTAAAACACTTAGTTATTGGCTTGAGTACCCCTTGTATTTAACCTCTAGGATTTTCTTGATGATGGATGGTAGTTCAGCTTAATCTTATATTTATTTATTATTATTATTTTTTGGGCACTTCCTAAATGATTTTGTTATACATGGTTGTATCTATGTCAATTATGTTAGTTTGAATTTGTGTTAAGAATTTCGTGTTGAGTCCGAAGGAGGAAATATGTTTTCATCATATGACTGCTTCTTGAATTTTGAGAGAGCAAAATTCTGACATATCATTTTTTCCTGCAGAGGGGTGGTTGGTTTAGACTAGCAAGAAAGTTTTCCCTTGTTTATTCCTTAGTTTGCTCATGTGGATGTCTGAAAGTTAGGGACAGAATGTGTGCATATCTACTTATTCATACTCTGAGCTTTGGCAGATGCATTTAAATGTGACATGTTCCATATGTATGCCTTGTGTGGTCTGTCTTCTTTTCTTTTCTTCTCTTTTCTATTTTTTTTCAAGAACATATGATCTATTGGTGATTAAAGCAGCCTTGCATTGTCTACCAGGTAAAGAAAGTGAATCCCAGAGAAATGAATCCATATCTTAAGGATAATGGAAGTGGTTATCCAGAGGAAGCGGATGAAAAAACAGGTGCTGGGGATAAACTTTTATCTTCTTCACTTGTTGGTGATGGAGGTGCAAGTTGGAAGCTAAAAGCCTTAAAGCGTGCACAAGAGCAAGCTGCTAGAGAGGGGCGAAATTTTCAGGATGTATGTTATCTTACCTTCACTTTCTTAGCAAGCATGACACATCCAGACACCAGTTAACCTTTATTAATTTTTTTCTTCACCCTTTTGTAATAGGTTGTTGAAGAAAGGTGGGGTTCTCTTGGTAAGCTGGCTGTCTCAGCAGCATCTCATAGAGCTGCTCCATTTCGTGCTCATCTACATGCCATAAAGAACAGAAAGCAAGGTCAAGCAGATGAGAACCAAATGGATGAAAGCAAACAACATGAAAGATATACTGAAAAGGTACCTACAAATCGCATGGAGACAGTTTCATGATTCTTACTCTTTTAAATGTTAGATTGTTAAGATTGATGCCCTTCATTTGGTAGCGAAACAATAATTGACATTTTTTTATTCTAATTTCTATATGATGGTGGTTGTCAGAACACAGGTCGAGATTATTTGCGAGATGTTTCTCTTCGGCATTCTGAAATGAAAGCTCCTAAAGTCCGTGATTCTTTATCCTGGGGAAAACGAAAAGGCCACAATTTGCCTGCTGAGAGTGCTGGCCTTGTATCAGCTGCTGTATCTGGCTTAAATAAGTTTGCAAATGATGGAAACTTTATACAGGAATTTCTTCATAAGCAGAGTAATGACTCTGCAATATCTGTTTCACATACAAATCAGGTTGGAAATGTGGAGTCAGAAGAGGTATCACCAGTGAAAAAAAAGGTTGGTGAAGGCACTTCTATGGTTAAGGAGCCGCTGACCACAAACCAATTGGCAGCTAAGGCTTTGCAACTTAGAATGAAAGGAAAGCATGAAGAAGCTGAGAGACTTTTGGTAAGCAACTTGCTCTGTGTGGCATGGGGTTGGGTTCAAAAGAAGGTTTTTCTTTTCCCTTTTTTTTTTATTTTTTTCCCCCTCTTTTCATAGTAATTGCTACCTATTTTCCTTTTTCTTTCTAAATTTTTCACTTTTCCGTCCACTTTTTCAGTAATGTGATATTTCTAAAGTTGGTATAAAATAATTTGTTAGCTGAATATATTTGCCAAAATAGGAGTTTTGTGCATTTACGTGGTGTACAAAAACATGATTAATGTTGTGAAGGTCTCTTTACTGGCTAAGTCAGATATGATGACCATGGGCTTTTGCTTCAGTATTAATTCCAGTTTTGTCTTTTTATCAGCAAGAAGTAGAGAATATGAAGGCAAAGCAGGGTGCTGGAGGTGATTCACACCGACAGCAGAATATTGAGAGCACAAGCAGGTAATTTCCATTTCTCAGTTTTGCTAATCTTCCCTCCTCCCTACTAAAAGGCATGTTTCAAATGAACTTGAAGTTATGTATAATTTTCTATTTAGGGAGAACTAACTTAACTCCCTTGCAGGTTAACTATTTTCTCTTCCATCCTGGATTGTTAATTTTTTCTGTTTGGGAGCTGGTTTATGAATTTATTCTTTCCCTATTTCGTCTTTTTCTTGCAAGCCCCCTTTGGTTCACTTTTCAGTAACACAGCAGTTGTGCTTTCTGCATTTAATAGAATTGATGATTATTGCTGTTATAATACTGCTGCTTCTATATTTTTTTCAAAAAAGTAGATATGTTATTCAAGATTTCTCCAAGCGGAAAGGGAAGGAGGAAGATGATGGTGATATGCATCTAGCTCGAAAAATAATGCAGAACAAGCAATATGGTCGGGCAGATGATGAATATGATTACGATGATGGTCCAAGCAGGAAGTCTCGGAAAAAGGGAAGAGACAATGATCAAGTGGGAAAGCAAAATTTTGCGAAGCGCATCTTGCCTCAGCAAGAGCGCTGTCTTTTCTGCTTTGAGAACCCAAACCGCCCCAAACACCTTGTCACTGCGATAGCAAATTTCACATACCTGATGTTGCCACAGTGGCAATCTGTTGTGCCAGGTCACTGTTGCATCTTACCAATGCAGGTAATTTCAGTGCTTGTTTCCCCCAGTGTCATCCATTCTTGTTTAAATTATTAACAATTAGATGGATAGGCTGGCAACATATTGAATGGTTTTTAGTTTTTTTTTGCATTTTTCATGACTAGGAGGAATTTAAATGTTGATAATAACGAATCTCTTCTATTTCTGTTGCTTTGGTACTCAAGGCAGAAGAACTTTATCTTTTATGATGAGAGATTATTAGCAAAATAACCCTGCAGTTTCTCTTGAAAATTTGAATTTTCGTTAGATACCTCTAGAAGCAAAATCGTGGGCTTTTGGATGTCTGGACAAACACTCAATTATTCATGCCTTTTTTTTTTTTTTTAATTTCACTGTATTGCCTTTATACATCCTGATTTAAAATTTGGAATTATGGTCTTCACAGCATGAGTCATCCACAAGGACTCTTGACGATAATGTGTGGGAAGAAATACGTAACTTCAAGAAATGCCTTATTATGATGTTTGCCAAGCAAGAAAAAGAGGTTGTGTTCTTGGAAACTGTGATAGGGTTGGCCCAACAACGTCGCCATTGCCTGATAGAATGCATTCCTTTGCCCCGAGAAATTGCAAAACAGGCTCCATTGTATTTTAAGAAGGTTAGATTTCTTCTACTAATTGCTTCTTAATTGATCAAAATATTAGCTTGCTTACCCATGCATGACAACAATCTGAAGAAGTGTATTTTATCAGTTCTAGATTTATTGGAATGTTTCTGTTTGCTTGGAGTTTGTTACTAATTACTCAGTGATAAATTTTTGCCTCAGGCAATTGACGAAGCTGAAGATGAGTGGAGCCAGCACAATGCAAAGAAGCTTATTGACACAAGCAAGAAGGGGCTGCGAGGCTCCATTCCCAAAAATTTCCCATACTTCCATGTGGAATTCGGTCTAGATCGGGGATTTGTGCATGTCATTGACGATGAAAAGGATTTCAAGAGCAGCCTTGGTCTAAATGTAATAAGAGGTATGCTCCAGTTGCCCGAGGAGGATATGTACAGGCGCAGGAGGCACGAGTCTGTGGAGATGCAGAAGCAAGCAGTCGCAAGTTTTGTCCAGGATTGGGAACCATTTGACTGGACAAAACAGCTTGATTAGATGTCAACTACATCAAGCAGTTCAAATCTCCTCTACTTTACCCAATAGTTTCTGATATGAGTATGACTCGTTGCATTTTTTTCTCCCACTTTTTCTTGTTTCATATCTGCTTCATTTGTGTTAGAATTTTGACATACCTAAAACATGTCTAACTGGTGGCTGCTGAAATCGTTCAGGGTTGACGTCCACCAAGGCGGCTTGAGGTAAGCCTTTGCCTGCTTAGGGTTAGATCCTGGGAGGGCGTCTGTTCACAATTTATATTTTTTTATCTTAGACAATAATTCAAACACATCAATGGCTTGGTAATCTAGATTTATTTTCTCGTTAGATTCAAGCCAATGCAATAAATATTAACTGATTAAATTAAAGGATAGTACTATATAGATAATTTTTTTATATTATCTTTTGATACAATTTTTACATGTCATTAAATAAGTGAATGCATTCAATATTACATGTTTTATACAAATAAAAAAATCAATCATTTAAATAACACGTTAGGTTGTATCAAAAGGCAATATAAAATAATTGTTTCAAAATCATTTCCTTAAATTAAATTACAAATTATACAAAACTATTGTACAGCTGAGGCTCTTCTTTTTATTCAAAAATGTATATATGTACAAATATATTTTTACAATACTGTATGCAATCTGGTAGGGCATTCCTCGATTAATTTTTTTTTTTTAATTTGAAGGCAACTTGGAAATTGTTATATATTTTTTCCTTTAGTATTATATAAAAAATTTGTACTTAACAAACATTATGTATGAAATATTGCTATTTTTTTTAACACAATTGGAAACAATTATTCTGATAGAATATGTACAACATGTGCAATAAAAAATAATAAAAAATTTTATTTTAATGTTATATTACCATAATTAATATTATTTTATATAAATTAATTTTTTTAAATATTTAATTTTTTAATATATATCTAAATAAAATTTTAAAAAATTATTTTAATATTAATATTATTTTTTTTTGTATGGATCATCTAGTATTTGAAAGCTCATTAAACTATCGATTAATCTGAATTTAAGTTGGGCAAAATTCAATGAACAACAAATTTCTTCCTTATTAGTTTTAATAAAATTATATTTTCAAAACTTGAAATCAAAATTTTTAATTAAGTTGAAAAAATTTTCAGTCAACTCATTCGTTCATTTCGTAAGTTAATATTATTTTATTTAACATATTTAAAAAAATTTTAATTGAAAAAAAAAAAAACCAAATATTCAGCCGTTTAAGTTTTAAAATGCGCCGCCTGACATGCTGTCAAGCGGTGCAAATCCTCAAAGTAAGAAATAAATTTTAAAAAGCAAGAGAGAGAGAGAGAGAGAGAGAGAGCTTCTTTAAAACAACGCTCCAATCCATTGAGCAATTCCCCGACGTTGTCTTAGTGGTCATATTTTGTCATGAGAAGTAAAGTAGGACGTAGCGTATAATCATCATATTGATTTTTTTTTATTGATATTTAAATAGATATTAATTTATTAATTATATATTTTTATAAAAAAAAGCTCCAATCCATTAAAACTATGACCTTATTGTATTTTCACAAAATAAAAGAAAAAAAAACTTTCATTATATATGCTCTAAATAATGTTCCTAAATCCTTTTATTCTCGTCCGTATCCCGTTATTCATTTCACCTGCACCACCACAAAACGATTTAAATTGTTTTTTTTTTATTTTCCAATATCCATTTCATCTGCACGGCCACAAAACTATTAAAATTGATTTTTTTTCCCATAATTATGAAAAAAAAAATAAATAAGGTGCCGTATGGGCTGTATTTTGGTTGGTTGCGAAATTTGGTTGGACAACTTGCAGATAAGCGGCCGCGATTTAGAATTCAATTTAATTTTCTTAAATTTCTAACCGTCGGATCAACAGATCAAAAATTAGGGTTTTTTAAAACGATGTCGGTATGATCGTCTTCTACATCCTATAAATCCAATGCGGCACCTCCATAAGCCCTCAGATTTCCTCTTTCGGCGAAATCCATCCCTTCTCCTAAAACCCTAATATTCCCACCCTCCCCTAAACACCCAAATTCCCTCCCTGCCTTGCAATCTCGCGTCCGTACGACGCAATATTTTTGTTTGGACAGAGTAATCACGGCTGATTAGGTTTTGTTTTGCT